ACAACTGGTTCCCTCCTCCCACTCATGCCAGCTTTGAGGCCGAGATGCTCTCAGTCTTTTTTTTTTTTGTGGAAAATGCATTATGATTCATCTTGAGCGATGTAGTTTTTCACGCCCGGCAGAAACGATCTAAAGCTCATCTTCCTACACAAAGAGGTGCCACCAGTATATAAAAGACGTTACGAACTCGAACAGAGCCTGCGCCCTCGGTTTGCAGCTTTTAGGCCCATCTTCATAATAAACCGCGATCATCGCGGGAATATAATGGCTTTCGAAAGGAGGCAAACAAAATGAATTACAGTACTTCAACGTTTAGTCTTCACTGCAATGCTTTGGCTGCAAATCCCTTACGAACATAAAAAATAAATTTCCATATGCTGACAATGTGACAGGTATAGGAGACAAACTGTTCACATTTAGAGATTAAGGAAAATATGCTTAAAGCAACTGTGACTATTACAGCAATAGCTCATTTAGTGCTTTTGCTTCCCTGAGGACAGGAACTTAAAATTAATTTCCTGTCAAGACAGATCACACTGATTGACCACAAACATGCCGCCGACAAAGACATCAGGTCTCCCTTTGTCTTCATCAAAGCAATTAAAAACTTCTGTGTCCATCACAGGAGGATGGGAGCAGTACTGTCAAATAAATAAATAAAATAAGGAGAATTTGATTTCCCATTCCACATTAACAGAATTCCGGTAAAACGTGTTTAGCTGTGATTAATTTCTACACATAACACAGCCAGACAAATGGCTTAATAAAAACTCTGCAAAGCGCGGGGTGGGCAAAGAACAGGAGAGATTAATTAAATTAAAGAGATTTTGCTTTCCTATAAATTATAGGTGTGCATGCAAGCCTTCCATTGCAGTTTAGTAAGCAAGGCTGAGATCAAAGACGCCAGATTTAATTTTCAGGCTCAGTAGTGCTTGAAGTCCATCCATCTGAAATCCAGTGGCTCACTGTAGCCTCCTGAGAGGCTCAATCGGTGAAGAGATTGTTTTTCCTTACATGAAAAATATCACTGTCGTTTTTTTTTTCTTCTAGGAGCAACAACTATTTAAAAAGGTGACAGCTTCCTGCAACAAGGGGGATGTTGCTTGCAGCCAGTTCCCCAGGTCCTCCTACTCCGGCCAAGTGCTTCCGACTAGCTCAGCCTTCAAATTAGGAGCAACTCCAACGACACTTCAGTGTAAGAGCATCGCTGCATCTATGAAAAGGAGAGGAGGCTTTTCATCTCATGTTGGTTTGGTAGTTAGAAGCGTAATGGTTTGACACCCAATGTCAGTGCAAAAAGAAAAGTTACTCTAGTTCTTAGTCTTAAAAACTAAAACTGTCATAACTCACAGATGTACCCTCAATCTTGTTTCTTTCACAGCATTTTGAATACCTGCATCATTGTCCCCTCAATCACCTTTTTCCAAGAGTGCAGAGAATCAGTGTAACTGGTGCACCAGTCTTTTAGATCTGGTGTTCTGGGTTCTTTTCTTTGAGCTCTTTAATCCCATAGCCATTAAGAGAACGATCCCCTTAAGTACAAAGCAATGATAATTTTACATGCTGACAGACTGTGATCATTTAGATCCTAACTTAAAAATATATCCTGATCAAAATGTATTACGACCTATCATCCACATGGAATCAATACATTCCACTGTTGTCTACAGGAAAAAAAAAAAGTATGACCAGAAAGTGAGTGCCTTCTAATTAATTAGTGACATGTCTATCCTGGGCACATCCTGCAGTGATGCTTATTTCAGAGCTCCTGCTCCTTATTTCAGAGAACAACATTTATTTGTTCTGGCGATTTGCATTTAGAAGAGTTAAGCAGAGCTTGCAGACAAGCCCTGGCTATATGGAGTAATCACACTGTAACGCTTACTGTTTTGATCTGCACGCACACAAAAAACAAATCAACGTTTGGCTTGCTCCCAGTATCTTTTTTTTTTTTATAAAGGAAAATCCTAAAGGAAGGGTGAAAACAACTCATAAGGGGTTGCAGAGATGTGTGCATGCCAAGAGCAGGGTCAATTTACTGTACCTGCAACACTTCGCTGAAACCAAGCCAGCCTGAACCAGTTAGAACAGGTGGAAGGAAAAAGCAAGATCAGTCACACTGCATTTTTCTGAGAAACGCAGCTACGCTTCCCTGTAAAATATGCACTGCAGGTCTGCTCCCCTCGGATTTCAATTCTCTCACAACTCCACTCCACCAACTCCTCCAAGCTCCGACCTTACATGATCAATCTACTTGATGGAGGCATTTTTTATGCCTTTCGCCCGGGCCGGTGAGTCACTGGCAGGTGGTGCGTGCCCACAGACTGATGCAATCGGAGCCAATCTGATCAACTCCTGCTCGGGAGCCCAGAGAGCCGGCCTGGGTTTAGTTAAGAGGTAGGTTCTATTATGGAATCACCACGTCATCCTCGGAACAGTGGTGGAGGGATAAAAAGAGGCCCCCAGCTCATGAATCCTGAACCAAAAACAGAAGTGTGATGAAGCTCTTCTGTTCGGGGGCCGCGATGGGACTGAGGTTGCATCATCTTTAGTTACAAGCGAAATTGACGGACTTTGGCAATTTAAACCCTCTCCTTCCCCATACTCTCCTGCCTTAACAATGCACTACATTTTTTCCCCACCAGAATGTCATGGGCATTGTGCTTAAAGGTCTTACACACAGGAACAGAAAGTATGATGAACACATCCTCTGAATACCAAGAATACCTGTCCAAAAAAACCCAACCCTTACTATGGTCTGAAATAGTGCCTTACCATGTACTACACTTTAGATATACTCATGTTTTTTTGCTCCCTCTTTTAATTACATGCTTTGGAAACTTGCACGGCTTGCTCAGAACCTCTGCACAGAGCAATCAATACAAACACAGGCAGCTGGTTTTCAAGTGCAATGCTAAATTACACCCAATCAACGTCATTTAACTGTTCCAAGACAAATCAATCCCTATTATCTTAATAATCGGTTCACGTAGTGCTTGTGGTTACTGTTGTTGGCATTGTCTTACCTCACTCTAAAATAGAAAAAGGACTTCCAAAGGCTTCAATGTGGGTTTTAAAAGATCACGGCACTGTAATTGAATTTTCTCCTGCTTATTTACTTGAGCTGGCAGGATGACTATCACTTTTATAAACACTTGAAATCTACTTGCACGGCATGGATGTTACTATTCAAATTCACAGAGATAACCAAACAAAACATGATACTTTAATTACTGATTTTTTAATGCACAATAGGGACCCTTTAAGAACTACTTCTAGAATAAACAATGGGAAGAACTTGAACTCTTTGCACAGCTCTCCATGTGCCACTCGTCGACTCCCTGTTTCTCTTCTGTCACTGGACTAATCTCTCTGGCACTTGCCTGGTCCTTCGGTCCTGACCTAAAGCATGCACCTCAAACCTGGAAGCAGAGAAGAGACATTGCTTTTTGTTGGTAAAGGCCCAGCTGGAGCAGTCCAAAAGTGGGGGACCTATCCCAATCACTACAGCAAGGACAGAGGCTAGATTGTCCAGTAGTTACTGGTACAACAAATTACTGGCCACAGGGTTTTCCCCTGCTCTAACCCTGGCTGTGCCACCAAAGCATGTTACTAAACCTTCTTGAGCTCCATCCTTCACTGCAACGCAAGATCAAGGGCCCTGCTGCCAGAGACACCGCAGCCACAGTTGCTGATGCCATGTTTTGAAATGCCTGCTCTGAACAGAAGTATCAGCAAGATCATTTAGAACAGGTTATGAGCAACTCCATGCAAGTCAGAGATGATATACTAGTTCCTTGAACCAACGCCCCTGCCTGTGCTGAGCCTACTCAGATAGGCTCTCTTTTGATCCGAGCTCTCAATGAACAGGACTGAAAAATCTTCAAAACCTGGGTACTGGCTCCTACCTTCCAGAAGACTATCGACAATATTGCTCAGTATGTACATACAGCTACAACACAAAAAATACTCATGGATATTAAATGCAATTCTGGGATCTGTTTCCCTTTTTTCTTATCTTTTCTTTTTTCTGTGGGGAAGTCAACTTCCCTGGCTCAGACTGAACTTCAGTTTCACGGCCATGAAAGTTCTCTCTTACTCGCTAAAACCCAAAGAAAGTTACCTGATCTTTTACAGGGCTGTTTTATATACTGTATAGGGTATTGAATAAAAAAAAAACAGCTTTTAATGGATTCAGACATTGCCTCCGTGAAGACATGTTTAATGAATGTTCTCCAGCATAAAACACGCATGAATGCACAAGGTATTTGGCATAAGTAGACTGAGCAAAGCACCCGAGACCTAGACAGCTAAGGCCTTGAGAATTCACCCCAAAAGACAGTGAAGTCCGAGAAGGATCGAAGTCAGGGAAACGGAACTAGAATAGAATATGTATGGAATGATTTGAAAAAAAAATCATTTTCCCCATTTCGTAACCGTTTTAGATTCGACTGAGAATCCAAGAGGTTTAATTTTGTCATGAACAGGGCTGTGCAAAATCAGTCTACAAATGTCAGAAACCTAAAGGTTTTGCAGATATGCACAACGGAGAGACTAAGAAGAGATTTATTAGTTTTTTAGAAGCGCAAAAAATAAGACTAGAACACTGTTCACGTGTATGGATCATATCTGGAAATGCCAAAAGATGTCTGCACACTAAAATGCAAGACAGACAAAAATCAACTCATAGAAACATTAAAACATTTTATATTTGTGAAGAGTTAATGGGAAGATCTGTTCTGGAATTTTAAAACATCACTTGAAAAAATTAACACTGCTAATGAATCCAGCTACAATTCTATTTAACCTTTTAAATACAGATTTTTAAATAGAATTCTATATAATCTTTTTGTTTTGGAGATAAATGATAATTCCAAAACAAAGCAACAGGAGAGTTCATTTTTTTGACTACCAGCATCACTTGCATCTCTAACTAAAAATGCTCTTATTAAAATGCTCTATTAAAATGAAACAGAAAGTGACATTTCTATTCACATAACTTCTTTCATGAAACAAGTGGTTAAGATCCTCTGATTAATTAGCTACTACACTCTAAATGAGCTAGATGATTTAAACAGACTCCTCTCGTTTGCTTCGATTGGAAGTCAGGGAATCTGAACTGCCCATTCAAATAGAAAGCGCATGGAAGTATTTAAAAAAAGAAAATTCTCACTTCTAAACGGTTTAAGATTCAACTGAGTAGCCACGTGGTCAAGGGCTGTAATTTTGTCATGAACAGGGTTGAGCAAAATCAGTCCTCAAGAGTCAGAAACCTGAACTGTGTTCAAGCTCCCTGGTGATCTAGAGATCTACATTACAAGCAGCTTCCATTATTGAGCTTCAGTAGGACATAAGGAACAAGTAATAGGTTTATTCCATGCTGAAAAAACAAGAAAGAAAACAACGTTTCAGCCGTGGAGCCTTCTTCAGGTGTGTGGTGTGCCTTCTTAGACACACCTTCTTCAGACACAGGCTTCACAGCCTAAACGTTGCGTTTTCTATCAGCAGGGAATAAACCTATTACTTGTTCCTTTGCAGCCTACGCATGCTGGCGCAGCTACCCACCTGAACTACTTCAGTAGGACATGACGCATTTAAAAAGAAATGTGGAAGGCTTCTCCAATATGGACATTGTAATGCCCACTGATAAGACTTCATATTTTGGCCACGAACTTTCCAGTACTGCACAACTGAGCCCTGCACACACGCGTAGAAAATGTCATTGTGCTTCGCACTGTCTGGTAACGGGTGACACTGGCTTCTTCCTCAATTTATCTTGTTTCCCGTTTTGCCTGTCTGTAGGCGTCCGGAAACCAGCCATAGGATTAAACCATCTAATTGATGACCTTCCTCTCACCTCCAGGGAGAGGGGAGATACACACACACACACACACACACACACACACACACACACACACACACAAAACCCACGGATGCACCACAATCACAAAAAGCAGGAAGACCGAAATGCTACTTGGTTATATGGATCCCAGGATTTCTTCATTTTAGAGCCAGTTCTGTTAACAGCCACAGCTATTATTAGAACTTAACTGTTTCACCAGTAATGGAGTTTATTCCAACTGCTGTGCAATTATCACTTCAAGTCACAGTTATCAGCAATTCAGCAGATTTTTATTCCCCGACAGCTCAATAGTCATTCTGCAATGCAACCCATCATCACTTTTTAGACTGCATGAACAAACAGCAGCTTACAGAGAGCTGAGCATTCCAAAATTACTGCTGAAACATTGTTAAAAACGGGCTTCTCTTCGAGCTCGTGTAAACAGCATGCAACAGCCAATCCAATCTCCTGACACTAGTTTTTTTTAACAGCGCACCGTTCTGATCAGTGGTTTACTGAGGACACTATAAGCTTCAGCTCAAGAACGTCTTCCTTCATGAATCCCTATATGGCTTGAGTTGCCATTTCCGTCTTCAGATATGACCGCCGATCTTTCACTGGCCTAGCTCAACATGGTACTGGCCCATGTTTCAATTTGCCCAGTAATCAGAATATTCCTTCAGCAACAGAAAGTACTCCAAGTAAGCCTGAAGAAATCTTTCGTGATGGGGACTGAACTCTACTTCAATCGAAAACTCTTGCAGAGCAAAGAATTCGGAGCAGGCCGAATCCCATCCTCCTGTTTTGTTCACTGAAATCTTCTAAATGGACATCTTATTTTTGGCAATAAGATACCACCTTTAACTGGATTGTAGGAAACAAATAAATATATAATCGAGAATGAGGGCAGGAGAAAAGGAATAGGACCGGCAACAGGAATACTGACATGAACTCCTTAAAAAAAAAACATACTACTCAATTACTGTACCCGTTCAGCAATTTCGAAAATACAATTTACACAACGCGCACTCTTCCTTCAGCAGACTGGACAGGATGCCAGTTGCGGGGGGGGGGGTTAAGCAAAAATAAAATCTGCATAGCAGCTAAAGGGCAGGGGTGACCCCTGGACACGCCCCCTGGCGACCTCTCACCTGGCACCGTGAAGTCCTGAGTGTAGATGATCTCGTCCTCCCCGTCGAACAGGGCGTCCTCCTCCTCCTCTTCCTCCGTGTAGCCATGAAGGTCCTCCAGATAGGGCACCACCGTCATGCTGCGCCAATGGTCCTTCGTATCTGGGCTGGGGGGGATGGGCACGGGCGGCTCCGAGGGGGGGTGTTTCTTGCGGACCCAGCTGGAGAAATGGGACGCCAGTTCGGATCACAAGCGCAAGCACAGCGCCCAGAGCCCAGATGTTTCACAGTGCCCTTCCCACATCCAGCAAGCTGCTACCATTATAAATAACTGGCGTCTGTTTGCTTTATTCACACAATAGCGTTTGTTTAGAATGACAAAGAGATCAGATGAGCTATACACGTAGTGAAGTGATCAAAAGCTTGCAGAAAAGCTGTTTTACTCGGCTGGCACCCAAAAATACCATCAATTTCAAGACCAAAGACTACCCAACACATTATCACATCAACAAATGCTGAAAAAACTTTCTGTAACACCGCAATCTCTTTAATGTTCAAAACATATTTTTTACTAAAATAAAACAAGCACTTTAACATTTTCCAAAATGTGGTCATGCAATCCTATGAGTGTTACGCCAGGAAGTCTCTTATGAGCAGCGATGGTAACACTTCAAATCACAACAGCTGATAACTGCATAGCTCACTCTGACAACCTGACAGGGAACAATATCCAAGATGGGTCACACGCACTCCCAAAATTAGCTAAACTAGACATCGTGTGAACAACAGTATGCATCAAAGTTTCACACTTTTCAAAATAGTTTTAAACTTGCAACCTGCTAAAAATCACACTGTTCTTTAACTCATCATGTAAGTGTTACTCTGATCAAGACTTGGTGTCAGTTCTTCCATTGCAGATATAAGGCTGGCATTTGCGAGCTGGCATCAAGTTGGTTGCAGTGCTCGAATATGAATCGCTAACAGACACAAAGCTACAAGACAGAGAAATGTGATTTTTATAGAGGACATGACCTCCAGTCCTGCAACCTCTTTCCAAATAATAGAACAATATAAACAAAATCATACTTGGCTAGAGCCCTAATTTTGCTTTCTGCCCTCGGTCATCTAGGGCTGCCAGCCTCATCGGTTCCCACCTCAGCGATGCAATTTCTCATTCATTCACCGAAGGGTCAGATCCCACACTGAGGAAGTGGGACGGATTTCAAAGCGCTTGCCTCCTAATGAGCGCCTAGCGCAGAACAGCTGGTACCCCCCTCGGAGCTCTGACTTTCTGCTTATGAATATTAAAGAAGACCCTCGCTATTCATCTTAATTCTACCACATGGAGGTATTAACTCCTGCAAGGCCGCACGTGAGGAGACCCCGATAACTCCACTCTCGTCCCCACCTCCTCACTTCCCGAGGGTGATAAAAGATCTCTTTTGGGAAACAATGCTGTTGTTGTGTGCATGAAGAGCTGTGCACGCAGCACTTCTAATTTAGCTGAGAGGCTGTGCGAGACATAAATCACAACACTTCTGGAGACTGGCCATGAGAAAACAAACGCAGCTAAAAGAAATCAATGGAGTGTATTTTACTGGCCTCGTGAAATTCGGGGTGGAGCGGTGGCTCTGTGGCTCAGGATCTGCGCCTGTGGCTGGAAGGTTGCCGGTTCAAATCCCGCAGCCGGCAGAGGACTCCTACTCCGTTGGGTCCCTGAGCAAGGCCCTTCACCCCAGCTGCTCCAGGGGCGCCGTATAAATGGCTGACCCTGCGCTCTGATCCCCAGCCTCTCTCCCTGTCTGTGTGTCTCATGGAGAGCAAGCTGGGCTATCCGAAAAGACTAATTCCTAATGCAAGAAATTGTATAGGGCCAATAAAGCAACATTACAACATTCCTTTTTATTGCATTGGCTGTACAAGATTTTCCATTTGATGCTGCACAGTCTGACCACACCTTTGAAGGTGCACTATTTTGTGAGCATGGTAGCACAGTGGTGTGCACTGCTGCCTTGCTGGAGCCCTGGGGGCGCTCTCTGCAGTTCTCTAGACTTTGCATGTTCTCTCTGTGTTTGCATGGGCTCTCCCTCCCACAGCTCAAAAACATACTGGTAGGTTGTCTGGCTTCGAGGAAAACTGGCCCTGGTGTGAGTGTGTGCGTGCCCTGCAATACCCTGGTGTCTCTTCATGGGTGCACCCTTCCTTTCGCCCGCTGTTTGCCAGGATAGACTCAGATTCCCCCCACAAACCTCAATTGAAGAAGCAGTTAGTAAATGGATGAATGGACTCGGTCTTTGCTGTATGTGATAGTTTTACAGTAAAGGAGCCACATAGGATTCACTGCAATTCAGAAATCTCCATTCATCTTCAGGGCAAGATCAGAAAGCACAAATCGAGAAGGGTCCTCCTCCTTTGTGCTCTGGACTTTTGTACGAGCCCTTCACTGAGGTACCTGGGTTATATGTAACCCAATGGCAGGGTGACTTCTCTTCCTTAGCCTAAAAGCACGCCTAACTACAATACACAGGCAACCAACTATTTATGTAGAAATCTTTGAACACTAAAAAACAACTTGTGTGGCCAGAGGGCTGTAGCTGCAAAATGAGATGTGAAAAACACAGGGTGCACGACTCCAGGACGTCGGGGGCTACAGCGTCTGCAGGTTATCATTCCTTTCCTGGCCTTAACAGCTCAGTAGAGTTAATCACAATTAACCAATTAAGTTTCTTCAGAGGTTTTCAGAAGGCCTATGTCCTGAATAGGTCACATGCATAGAAGCAGCACCTCCCTTTCCTACCACTAGAGGTCACCCTGCTTTAAGCATAATACCATAACCCAGGGGTTGTCAGTCCTGGTCCTGGGGGATGTTTTTCAATTTCTGATAAGGAATAGTTAAAAGGAGACTGTAAAGAGTGTTCAAAGTAATACTATTAGGTCAATTAAGGGTTCAGGTCTTTAACGCAGGATTGGTAGCCCTCGTCCATCCATCCATTTTCTAATCTAATTCTGCTTCTTCCAATCCAGGGTCATGGGGGAGCTGAAGCCTATCCCAGCATGCAATGGGAGCAAGGCAGGGTACACGCTGGATGGGACACCAGTCCACCATGCAAAGCCACACCATTTAACCTTACAGGTCATTGGACTGTGGGAGGAAACTCACAAACACAGGAAGAACCCTTGTCATAAAGTAAAATTTAATATAATTTACTGCAGGACTTATTACAAAGCTGAAATTTGGATTAAAGCACGTGTGTTATAATATGAGGACATCAGGCACAACACTCAGGTCACAACTGGCAATCAGGTTGATGGACTGAAGGGACCTGCAGTGTTGTGGGGAATGTGCAATGGGAGATGGGGGAGGTGATAAATATATCACAGAAAACTGGTTTTGTCGGCCTGTAAGGACTTAAGACTGAAAGACCGCATGCTTGCAGAAAGCATGCTGATATCCTGATTGCAAGTGAGGTATTTAAATTAAGGGCCTTGGTTAAAAACATCAATACGGGTGGCTCCTTGCACATGTAGATCAGAAATGTATCTTTAAAATGGAGATTCTACACTTTATTTTGAACTCTTCTGGTTTTGAAATCGTATTTCTTTCATCAAAATCATATGAAATGAGCCCCAGTAGTATTCTATAGCCTTACAATACTGTACTTAAAACACTGTGCTTTCTGACAGGGCTTTGTCACGCTCTATATATTTCTAATAAGTAGTATAAATAAGGCCACAGCATTAAACAGTGTTGTTTATCACACCTGGTGACCAAGATCAAATCCCTAAAGATGTACAGAAAAGACATTTGCATCTGAACCCACCAAACCCAGCAGCCAAGAGGTTTGTACTGTATCAGCAGAAGTCTGACAAGGCCTGCGAAATGCAAGAAAACATTTGCATTTTCAACTACTACAACTCAATACAGCAGCTGTACATGGGCGTAGAGGAGTGTTATCATAGGGAGAAACTGAGCTCATTATTTTGCTAAGCATTTCATTAAAAGAAGGCAGGCATGCCAAAGAAGCCTTCTGATACCTCCTCTCCAAACAGCGTCCTTTGTGGGTCAAAAGAAAGAAAACTAAGCAGCTACAAAGGCTTACTGGTAAAAAAATACATCTGCAGCAACAACCATAAAAAGGCCCTGGTCAAATAACCCCTCATTTCTCTGGCTAAAGGAAACAGATGAAGAGGACTGGCTGAACTAATAGCATTTACAAGCAGGGCAACAAAACCTGGGTTTCTCATTAGCGGTCATCTGTTTCATGGAGGCACAGCCAGGGACGTGCGCAGCCGCCCCCAGACCAGAGAGAACAGCTCCAGACCCCAGGGCCGGGGCTCCAGTCACAAAGCACCGAGAGGGCTACCTTGACGAGGCAGCAGGCGGGCACCGCTCACGACTGGAAAGCCATGCAAGTCGAACGAGGGGCCGCAGGTCAGCAGCACCCACTCGGGGAGAAGAGTGGGCGAGAGAGAGAGAGATCGGCCTGTCAGAGCTAATGAACTCCTCCGGGGCTCATCACAAGACAGCTGGCCAGGGAGAAACGCGCACGGAGAAATGTGTGACAGGGCCGTGCTTCAAAACCTCTGAATACAGAAAACCAGAAAGGTAAAGGGACCCGATAAAACAAGGAAGCATTACAGTAAGAGTTGGCAAGACAATTCCCCATTGATGCTTGTCATGGTTGGCACCCATACAGGCTCTAAAATACCTGCAACTTCATTCAAAAAAGGCTGGACAAGATCCTCATATTGATTACCTATTAATAACCAAATGACCCAGGTGGGCCAAGTGGCCCCCTCTCTTGTAGTCTCTTTGCAGGTCCCTGCATCCTTTTCAATGGATCAATGTGGACACACAGTGGACTAACCCTGAACCACCTTTAAGCCTCGATCAAATATAAAAAAAAAACAAACATTTCAATGATCTCTCATTTGATCAGATTAGCGAGATCTGCACCTGCAAGGATGTCCACGAACGATTTGCAGGAACTTCATAAAGTGTGAAAAATAAGTAATAAGTAAATCAATTAATGATTAATATGAGCCAACTGCAGCTTTGCTCATAGTCATGAATATAACTTCAGAACAGTTACTAAATTAGGCTCAAAGGACCTTTTTTTAAACGCCGTTAACACATTTTTATTAAATGAAAGGAAGGGGGTGTTCTTGGGGGTCACGTGTAACTGTTAGGGGTACGCGATCCTTTTCATCTAAAGGGCAACGATCCCCAAGCAGCCTAGCAAAGCTGCTGCTCCTTAAGGAAAGTCACCTTAGGAGCTGAGTAATTAAAATTGCATGCGTTCCAGCATGATGTCTCCACCAATTTCAAATCCCCTTAATGTTAATATTTATACAGAGCTGGGTAATTAATTTAAAAGTCTGGCTGCCCTTTTGCAAGTTTAAATATTTATACAGGCATTTTGTATTTATTTTTATGTTTGTTGTGTGTGTGTGTTGACACTGATGAAAGACCAGAGACATCAGGTAATCTGAGCTGGAAAATTCCACCCTTCAGGTGATCAGTGTCGAGCTTCACAGCACAGAGAAGGGCGGGGGGGGAACCAAGAGACTTTAACAAGGAAGGATCTTGAATGAGACAGCAAAAGGGTTAATTAGAAAGCTGATCTAATAAGATAAAATCAATTTCCAAGCAGGCCCAATATCAGGCATCCAAAGATGTTTTCATACGTCTTGTGCTAATGCACACAGCTGGATACAGGGGTCAGAGGTCACATGCAGAAGCCAAACCTACTGCACCTGACCTGCATTTCAAGCGCTTGACCCGGGAAAAAGTAAAAGTAAAAGTCATTTTTCTGTGCCAATTAGGCATTAACTATTCTGCAATCTATATTACAGGCATATGCCATTCCAAATCAATCATTGCTTACACTTATATAGTGCTTTTCTGGACACTTCACTCCAAGCGCTTTACAGGTAATGGGGGCTCCCCTCCACCACCACCAGTGTGCAGCCCCACCTGGATGATGTGACGGCAGCCATAGTGCGCCAGAACGCTCACCACACATCGGATATCAGTGGGGAGGAGAGCAGAGTAATAAAGTCAATTCATAGATGGGGATTATTAGGAGGGCATGATTGGTAAGGGCCAATAGGAAATTTGGCCAGGACGCCAGGTACACCCCTACTCTTTTCAAAAAACACCCAGGGATTTTTAATGACCACAGAGTCAGGACCTCGGCTTTACGTCTCATCTGAAGGACAGCGCCTGTTTACAGTACAGTGTCCCCGTCTCTATACTGGGGCATTAGGACCCACATGGACCCCAGGGTGAGCACCTCCTGCTGGCCCTCTAACACCTCTTCCAGCAGCAACCTTAGTTTTTTCTCCCATCCAGGTACTGACCAGGCTCACACCTGCTGAGCCTCAGTGGGTTGCCAGTTGTGAGCTGCTGACTGATATGGCTGCTGGCAAATTACGGAGCAACATCATTTTAAGGTCATTACTGCGACAGTAAGCACTACTGCTACACAGCCCTTTGGGTCACTGCTGAAGGACAACTTCTGTGTGGAGTCTGCATGTCCCTCCCAGCCATCCCACATTTGTGTGGGTTTTCTGTAGGCGCTCTACTTTCCTCACCCTTCCCAAAAAGTAGCAGACGTGGTCAATGCATCTCTCTGTACTGGATCTTGCGCTGTAGTGCACGCCCTGCGATGGACAGGTGTGCTGGGGGCAGGGTGCAGCCCTGACTTGTGCTCTCTGCAGGCAGCCATGAGTCCTGTCAAGGATGAGACCCGTCCTGACATGACCTGATGTACTGCCGTTATTTCCCTTGCTCCTCAAACCAGGCAATTTTATTATATAGGTTTCTGCAATGCTGGGTAAACATCTGAACGCCAAAAATAAAATTGCTTTAATAGCACACTTGGTATCAAGCCCTACTGGTTGGGCAAACCAAGGATTGAGTTTTTTCCAGGCTAACAAGCCTCTGTTCATCACAAGTCAAACACTTATTAATAATGCAACAGCCTATTAAAATGACTTGGAATAAGAACAAAAGAGAATCAGGTTTCATCTCCCCCTAATTCAGTATTGCCTCCACGCCTCACAACACCTCAGGAAGAGGGAGCAAAACCCAAGTCTAAAAGGTTTCAGCCTCCCACAGCAGCAGGATGAGGGAAAGAGGGATTTCCTCCCCCCCCAGCCCTTCCCTCTGCAGCGGAGAGGGGAGCGGGGTGATCAGACCAGCACGCGCCTCTGCTTCGGTCATTTGTTACCATGGCAACCGCAGCCCGTGTTTCCCGAGAAACACCGGTCCTTGTGCAGCCGAGACACTTAACAGGCTGTGTGGGGGAAAAAAAAAAATCCTGGGACTTTAAAATGTTTTAAAACCAGAAATTTCGGAGCCTTTTTCGAAATGCTTTGCATAAACTCGTCTCGGAAATCCCTGTTAACCTCCCGTCGTCTAAAAAACGAGATAAATGGGACACGCCTGAACTGAAAGAATATTTAACAAGATTTGATGACGGCTTAACATCTTCAAGGCAATTTGTGCACTTTTGTTGGAAGTTCGTTCATTATGTGTCTACAGAATCCATTTAAACCCACTGCAGCCTTTTGAAAAAAGCACAATTACCTTTCAATTCAAAACACCTTAAATATGAAATTACCCATAATAATTGGGCTTTAAAATCCTCTACATGTCTTCCTGTTTTATCCTCAGTTTTTTTTTTCTGCAGCCATTAATGTTTAAATGTTAGTCTCCCATGTGTATTTCTAAACTCCAAATACAAACACACAAAACACTGTGTCCACATGAAAGCAGCCTGAAATGCTAATCTAGCAGCCACTGGGGACGTCATTAATTTCATTCTGAATAGAGCACCAAGCCCATCATTTAACAGTGCTTCCCAAGCGCAGAAAGAATCAGTTTGGTTTATTTTACAGTTTAACCGTCTGCTTGTCTTCAAGTGAGCCTTCAAAGACGAGACAAAGAAGAGGAAAAAGCTTTGCAAACTTTGGAAAAAACGGAGATCTTTTGCCATTCCCGACAAGAAGAAACGATAACCTCACAGTCTGAAGACCAGAACACCCTGCAGGAGTGACGCTGCTCTCCCTGACAACACTTCATGCCCACTGATGCCCAGAAAGAGTGAGGGGAGGCTTGCTGTTTCCATGTCTCAGCCGTAACCCATTCACCAG